ACAGACCTCGTAGGTCGGTTCTGCTGGAGCAGCTACCAGGGCCCAGCATCTCCCCAGCCTCTCCCCGCCCAGCCTGGTGTGTGGCTGGAAGGCCCAGGCCAGCGGAAATGGAGCTCCCACAAATACCGTGACCAGGTCAGTCAGCTCCTGCCACTGGCTTCAGGTGAAGAACACACGCGTCATGCATTTAACAGGGTGGCGGCCCTAGCGTACAGTACAGGAGAGCGGGCCTTGCACCCCTACCTGTGCACCCCCTGCCCTGCCGCACCTCCGCCCTGCCTCAGCCTCCGTAGTGCTACTGGTACCATCACTGCTATCTCCCGGGAGGGAATGGGGTCCCTAAACCACAGGGCATTTCTGCTCAGTCCAGGCCACGGCCCCGTCCAGCCGTGGACACAGAGGATCCTGCGGAAACTCAGCGCGTCTGCTGGGAGCCCCATCCCCGGAATGACCACGTCGCTCTAATGAAACGGAATGACCATGGGGTGCTGGGAGCAGTGGTGCTGGCCCCCACTTGGACCAGGGGTCCCACAAGGCTTGGAAAACATCTCCTGGTCTAATTCCCACTCTGGGTGCTCGGGGTTCATTTCAAGACCTCAAGGCGCTTCTGAATTCCAGTGTTGGTGTTTGGGCTGCTTTAGACGTGGCAGCAAGTGCCCAGGGACCTGCGTCCTCCCTGCTTCCCGGCTGCTGAGGGAGCCAGGTCTCTTCCAGTCCAGAGTGGGCTGGGCCGACGCGCGAGGAACTCCGAGGTGTCCACCCATCCGTCCCCAACACCAGCAAGGGGGCCCCGCAGGCTCAGGGCTCCCCCAGGTGCGTGTGCAGAGGCCTGTCCTGTCCTGGGATTCAGATAAACCCTTCATCCCAGAGCCAGAGTCCTCTGGGGAAAAGGCATTTTTTTCACAATCATTTCTTCAAGAAGCTGATGCCACACATGCTGGGAGGCAGTCTCCCTCCCCCTTACTGCTTCCCTCCTCCCTACCCCCCTCTCCCCCTTTCCCCTTCCCCTTGCCTTCTCATCCTCGTGGCCCTTCTGCTTCAGCTCCTTCCAGTGGGGCCCGAGACAGGGCCAGATGGAAAGGCCAAGGTGTTCCTTCCCTGGGTTTTACTGCCTTCCCAGGACCGGATCCCGACTGAGGGGCTTTCTGGCTTCTTCCATTTAGGGGCACCAAGGGAACAGGTGCTTTGGCCAGCATCCCCGGTGAGGGAGGAGACAGCAGCTGACCGCCCCCCCCATGCTGGGCTTTCTTTCACCTTCCTGACACCCTGGCCCAGAGGACAGCCGGGCTGGGCAAGCGCGCATAGGGCTGGGGCCTCCTGCCCTGCGAGTGTGGGCTCCAAGGAGTCAGTTCAGTCGTCACCCCCTGCCAACCTCCCACGGCTGTCCTGGCCTGGGCTGTCCCTCCACGTGGAGGCCTTCCCGCAGGGAGCCAGGCTGACCTCATAGGCCTGCAGCCTGGACACCCACACCCCACTAGAGGGAATGTGTCTGGGCACCCGGCCGCCAGGACCACACGGGGTCAGCTTCCTGCTTCCAGGAGCCTCCAGCCTTAGTTTCCCTTCATCCTCTATTATCTGTCTTAGGGGACAGGAGGCTGCAAGCATCCTTCCACCAGGAGGGACTGGAGCATTGAAGACCTTGCTTCCCGTTCTTCTCTTACTCTATGCCGGGAGAGAGAGAGAGGGAGGAGGGAAGAGGGGGAGAGGCAGAGCGGAGACCAGGCTGTCTGCAGCCAGCAGGCCAGCCAGCCCTGGGAGAGGCGGGGTGGGGGGTGGGGGGAGGTGGGATAAACCGCAGGCTTCATCTCAGGAGGCCGCTGCTTTAAGTCTTAATTGGTTGCCTTTTAAATATCATTTAAGGGTGGGCTTCCCTGCCCCTCTCTCTAGTTAAGAAGGTGTTGTGTCAAACTCTATTACCTTGCTGGACGTCTCTCCCTTAAGTTTGAAAAAGGGAGGGGGGAGGAAAGGAAGAGAAAAACAAAGACACGGAGGCATCATGGGCGAATGGAGGGTCGATAAAGCTTTTAGATTTGGAGACGTTTTCCGGGAGCCCATTTCCCGCGGCTAAGAGTTGTTAATGGAGCTTAAGGAATTATCTCAGGCCGGGCGGCCGGGAGCGCCGTATATTTCCCGCGCCTGTTCCCCTGTCGGCTCTGGATATGCTGCTGTCAGACTCGCTTAATGAAAAGTAACGCGCCGCTGATTACAGTTTTATTTGGGCTCTATGTAAAGAGCGCCCGTTAATTCAGCCCTTCCCGGTGTGTTTGAATCCGCCACGCCTGAGTGGCTGAGAGCGGTCCTGGCGCCTTCAGCTCCTTCCCTGACAGCCTCCCGGGGAGGGATTGGGGCCCCTGCCCCCGACCGCGGGGCTTTCCCCCCAGAAGCACCAACTCCTACAGACCAGGGCCCCATCCCAGCCCAGTCCTTGCAGGCGCCCCAGGGCACAGAGGCCCGAGGAGGGGTGAGGGTGCCCAAGGGCGACACTTCCCGTTTACCCCCACCCGAGGTAAGGACGAGGTGGAGGTGACAGCCCCCAGCCCTCCCGAAGTCTTCATTTCACACCGTTTTGCGGGTTAGCCAAATAAATCTCTCTGGTTGGTGCCACCAAGATCTGGGGGCTCCTGCAATGCGGGGCTCTGGCCCGGGTCTGCTGGCAGAGCACAGGCCCTGCCCAGGGTGTGAGGTCCCGAGGGCAAAAGGCCTGGGCAGCAGCGGGGTGCAGGGGGTGGTCCAGACTCAGCGGGCAGCACACCTGCCCCTGACCTGGGCAGCCAGGGGCCCAGGCCCGGGTCGGCACAGCACTCATCCCGCCCTCTGCGCTGCCTGCGTCAGAGAAGCCTGATTTTTGCTGCAAATGTCTGGCTTTGTCTGGGGCTGGGGTGGGGGGCCCAGGCGGCCGGCCTCGGCCGCATTAAAATTCCTGGCGCCCCAGCCGCGGCCGCCCGCGTCTCCCGCGAGACCGCACTTTCGCTATTACTGTCAAGTACCCTTGACTCTTTATTTTTGCCCTTTTATCTATTACAACTAATTCGAGTTCTTTTGCCCTTTTCAGTCTAAGACGTGGGCTTTCTGCAAAGCCTCCCCCTGCCAGCGAGCTCTCGGAGCGCGGAGCCTTTAGAAATTGAGGGGTTTACTGTCAAAATGAAAATTTCACTTCAAATTATCTTGGCTGATGCTCGCTCGCAGGCCGGGGGCTCTCGCCGCAGCCTTTTGACAGGCGCATCAGCCGCGCGCTTCCGACTCCGATAATATCATCCAAGAGAGCGAAAGTCAATACGGTGACAGCGCCGGGCGGATACAATCCAATTACCGCGCCGCCCGGACAGGCCTCGGGCTCCGGCCCGCCCGCTCCGCCCCGCGCTGCGGCTCCAGGTCCCGGCCGGCGCGCCCGGGGCCCGGCACTCAGGGGGGCCCGGCGCCCGCCCGCGACCCGTTGCTCGCGCTTCGCTCTCCCCGCACCGACTCGCCCCGCCGCGCGCCGTCCCCCACCCCCGCCCGCCACATCCCGCCTGCCCCGAGCCTCTCCCCGGGGCGCGGGACCCCTCAGGGCCCCAGGCCAGCTCCGACCCTCGCAGAAAAAGGTCCCGCCTCGCGTGTCCCTCCGAGGCTGGCCGCCGCCCGCGAGAAGACGTGCGTTTCCAGCCGCGCTCGCCTCGCCGCTGCCCCCTCGAAGGCGCGCGGACTTGGCGATCGGTCCCTCTGGGGACGCCGGCGGCTTCGAGGAGGCCCAGTAGGACCCGAAGCCGAGCGCGGGCAGGCGAGGGCGCGCCCGGAGTCCGGAGCGCGCAGCGGTCGCCCGAAGCCCTCGACGGGCCCTCGCGGGGGTCCAGGCGCCTGCGGGGCGGGGGGACGCGGCGCGGAGTCGGCGGAATCCGGGGAACCGCGACTTTCCTTCAGTTCGGGGGTGCGGGCCGCTCCTGGGCTCGGCTCCGAGGGTGTGGGGGCCCGTGTTTCAGAGCGAACCCCGGGGTCTACAATGCGCAGGAACCCAGGCGAGGGGGGAAGCCCGCTGCCACTCGCCCCCGCCGGAGGCCTTGACTCCCAGCCCCGCTTCCTCCCTGCAGCCTGCAACGCGCTCCCGCCTCCCCCTTCCCACCGAGGCGTGGCCCAGGGCTTTCCCAGTGCGGACGCTTGAGGCCTGCGGCGGGTCCCTGCGGGGAAGGGAAGCGGACTTAGGCGCTGGGACCCGCCGCGGGAGGGGCCTCACCGTCGCAAAGGACCGTCTGAAAGGAGTCCACAGCGGGAGGGCCTCAGGGCAGGGATGGCCCCTCCCCCGCTCTCCCCAGGTCGCAGTTCCAGGGAATTGAGGAAGTTTAAAAGTTATTCTAATCTAGCAAGAGGGACTCTCCTATTTTCTCAAAATTTTGGAGGCTGCTGTACTGGGGGAGAGTTTACAAGTCCTGACCCTCTCATCACCAACTCTTTCCAAGAACTGGCTGTACTCAGCGTCTGGCGCCCAGCCAGCAACTTCCCCGAGGACCCTGGCCCGAAGACCCCTCTCCCACTCGTTCCCTTCGGGATTAGAGCCTTTCCTCTGGCGAGAGCTCTAACCCCCGGGTTTGAAACGTGGTCATTTTGCAATGCAAACACCACCACTCGGTTTATTGGTTTTCTTATATTAGCCTCTGAAGCAGGCAATTATTGGTGTGAACATACATTTTAAAAAAACATAATTTTATCGCGTTAAGAGTGTGCAATAGTGTGAACGAGGTGGAGTGCTGCTGGCCAGTGTGCGGAGGACGCGATCAGGTTCATGGGCTGATGAGTCTTCAGGAGGAGCTCAGGCAAGCCTCGAACCCGAAGGAAGACAGGCAAACCGACAGCCCCTCGGAAGGGAAATGTCTTCTCCATGTAAACTTCCGCTCCTAAACTTTATGCCTCAGGGTGGCTCCCTTCTGCTCCGAGCGCGGCCCTGCCCGAGGGCTCCGGAGTCTGGGAATGGCCGGAACTAGCGATTGTCCGCGTGGGGTCGGTGGCCCTGGTCTGTGGCCTGGCCCGGCCGAGCTTGGCTCCTCCCTCCACGGTGGGTTCGCTGCCTGAACCTTGCCATGCTCTCGTCCTGCTTTGGAAACTTGGTAGAAAAAAAGAGTCTGTGACCCACCGGCCTGCAGCCGAGCCTGGGCTCCTCCTCCGCTCAGGGGCGGGCCGGTCAGGCGCAGAAGGGCTTGCCTCCCGCCTTCGGAAGGGCCAGGGGCTCCTTGGCTGCGCCAGAGGTGGGGGCGTCATGGGGTGCGGCCGGCGGGAAAGCGCGCGCCAGGGGCGTCGTCAGCACGTTGGCGCCTGCCCCCAACGAGCGTCCCAGCGGTCCTGGGTCCAGGAGGGCGCCCTTGGCGGTGGCCCAGGCCTGGTTCAAAGTGCTGTGCCTGAGGATGGGGTCGTGAAAGACCCCATCCACCCAGTTTCTGAGACTGGTTACTGGGGAGTCCTGGTGCCTGTCCAGGACACCAGTGGGGGCCGGGGCAGCAGGCGAGGACGACGCAGGAGCCAAGGAGGTGGCCGCAGGGGCCGCCGGGCCTTGACGCTTGAGCATGCATGACGGAAACTCAGTCTGGCTCAGGGCCGTGGCAGCAGCAGTCGCCGTGTGAGCCAGGGACCAGATGCGCGGCTTGGCCTCGAGGCCCGCCGTTGCCCCAGCAGGCGCGAAGCCCAGCTTGGCCTCGCAAGCCTGCGAGACGCCCCCCACACTGGACTGGTGCTCCGGCCCTGCCGCTGTGGTCCGGAGGCAGCTCCTGGCCCTCTCTAGGTCCTGGTCCAGGGGGGCCCCGCCACCGGCAGCCAGGGGCATCCGGAGGGTGCCGGAGGCCTCCTTTCCCGGGGCGCTTGGACCATCCGGTGCGGCAGGGATGCGCTCCAGACCGCCATCCAGGGGCTGGAAGGGCGGTTTCAGCTCGCACTCAGGGGGCTCCGCCTCCAGCGGGTCGAAGTCCTCCAGGTCAGTGAGCTCCAGATCCTTGTCCTCTTTGCCCACGGGCTCTGCGCAGAACAGGAGAGGCCAGTGCGGGGACAGAGGCGGGAGCTAATCAGAACCGTGCACTTCCTTCCTAGCTCTGCACCCGTGCTTCTAGGGCCTGAGCTCAGAAAAGCACCCAGAGCCGTTCTTTGCAGCTCCCACCTGCTCCGGACGCTCCCCATCCCCCAGGCGGCAACAAGGGGGGCGATTTCCTCCTCAAATCAATAGGGGTCAGGTTAGGGTGGGTGTGTCCATGTTTTAAACGTTGTTTTGGGTTTCTTTAAGCCTGCCCCCGTTGGCACCGGGGCCCCCTGGGCTCAGGGCCTCTGGGGCCAGCTCATTCATTTGCTGCGCAGGCCCCTGAAGTTTGCTTTCACCACCCCAGATTCGATGTCTTTAGAGGTCCTAGAACCCCGACAGAAGGCACTGGGAGTCCCCGAGCTCGGTGCCCCAGCACCAGCACCGCCCACTCCCTCGCACCTTCATTCTTGGTGCTCCTGAGGGGCTCCGCCCGGGCTTCCTCCTCCGTCCCTTCTTCCTCCTCGCCCTCCGCGTAGGCGCGCTTCTCATCTGCGCATTTGTTTCGCGGAGGCCACGTCATCTTGTTCTCCTTCTTGAGGCGGCGGCGCGCGTTGGCGAACCAGGTGGACACCTGCGTGAGGGTCATCTTGGTGATGATGGCCAGCATGATCTTCTCGCCCTTGGTGGGGTACGGGTTCTTGCGGTGCTCCTGTAGCCAGGCCTTGAGCGTGCTGGTGGTCTCCCGCGTGGCGTTCTTCCGCCGCGTGCCGCTGTCCATGGTCCCGTACCTGCGGACAGGCTGGGCAATGGGGTGCCGCCCGGGACCCCTGCCTGCGCCGGCAGCCGGAACCAGGCCCCTGCAGGCTTTCGGTCCCCGTCGCGGGGCTGCGCTTATGGTGGTAAAACCGGGTGGGACCCAGGCCCCCACCCCTTGCCACTGCCCACAGGCACTGCCCTTCCTGCCTGCATCTATCACACTTACAGGGAACCCGGGCTCCTGCTCAGCCAGAGCGGTCAGGGTGGAGTGCTCAAGGCCCGGCTAGGTCTCGCTCACTCCACCTAGGCCTCTCTTCTTCGAGTTCCTTAGATCCGCAAACCAGGAAAGCCCCTCACAGAAGTGCAAGCCCGACTGTATGACACCCATGGGCGGGAACGGCCATCAGTTCCCTTGGGGAGAAAGCGCCCAGACGGCCTTCCGCAGACCTCCTGCAGTTACGATTACGACTGTTGCCCTCCTCTCGCCCAGATGGGTCATGCTGTCTTAGAGTGGGTTCCACTGGACTCCCCCTTCCAGTTCCCACCACGGGGAAGGTGGACTGGGTCCCACACACCGCAGAGGCTGCACCTTTTGGGGCGGGGGAAGGCATCCGAAGCCCAAGCGCCAACTCTTGGCGGCCAGGAAGACCGAGTCCAGCAAGGGCTTGGGGAGTGCGGACAGCGTGGGGAGCGGGAGAGGAGATGCTGGGGACGCGTTTGTCTCTGTGGGGCTTGGCTTGCCTAGGAGATGGGACTTGGACTAATCCAAGGTCAGCAGGAGCCCAACCCTGAGACCGTCCCTCCTCCCATCTCCCCAGCTTTCACAGGGGGCGTGGGTTGGGGAGTTGATGGCAGAACGGAGCGCAGGGGCCGTGTGGTGCGGTGAGGAGGGGTTCCGGCCCTCACCTGTCATAGGGACACTGGCTCAACGCCGGCTCGTAGGGGTAGTAAGCAGCAGCCGCTGCAGGCGCGAGGCCCGCATGCGCAGATCCAGGCCCGTCCTTGGAGTCGAAGCCATTCTGTAGGATCCCAGGAGCCCGGGGTCACAGCTGCTGGGAGGCGACCCAGCTCGGCCCCGCCCCCCACGCACCTCGGCTCCTGCAAGCTTTGCACAGACCCCCGGGCAGCCTCACCAGCCATCCCGTGCCCAGACTGTCTCTCCTGCCCAGGGAGCAAGGAACCTCCAAAGGGGGAAGGAGAATGAGATTGGCGGAAGAACGGGGTAGAGAAGAGGGGTGGGGCGCTGGGAGACAGCAGAGGAGAGGAGGGTGAGCGGGACACCAGAGGATCAAAGGGAGGAGGGGAGGAGAGAAGTGGGGGTGGAGCAAGAGGGTGGGCATGGAGGGGGCAAGGGAGGGAGAGGCCGGGAGAGGGCTAAGTGGTGGGGGTTGCTTAGAGAGGAAGAGGGAGACCGGGGAGCGAGGGAAGCGGGGCTCTGTGGGGGAAAGCGCTGGAGATGGGGAGAAGGGGCGGGCACTGGACCGGTGATGTGGTCAGAGCTGCGAGCTCCCCAAACCCGGGGGCTGGAGGTGTGCCGGGGAGCCGGACTAGGAGCGGCAAAGCGGAAGGAGCCGCTAAGGCGTGCCTGTCCCGCCCCCTCCAATCTGGGGTCCAGGGCACCGGCGCCCCTGACTCCAGAGTTCAGGGAGGAGGCTCGGCAATTCCGGGGGGAGGGGCGAGGCGTCGCGGGGGAGGCGGAAGGTTTCAGATAATTCCCTCCCCTTACCAGCGAGTAGAAGGCGGACGCCTCGGAGCCGTAGGTCACGTAGTTGCCGTAGCCCTGCGAGCCGCCATAGGGGCCCCCGTAGACGCCGAGCGCCGCGGCCGAGTTGAGCTCGTGGCGCGCGGTGGCCAGCAGCCGGCTCTCGTAGACCGGGCAGTAGACAGGCGCCTGGGCCGAGGCGGCGGGCCCGGAGTCGGCCAGCGTGCGGCCCCCCGACTCACAGCACGTGCTCAGGGAGTTGGTGGTCATCAGGAACTGGAGGAGAGAGGGGCCGCGAGGAAGGGCCGGCACCCAGGCTCAGGGCCGGGGCTCTAGGCCTCCACCTGCCCGACGCGCGGCCCAGAAGGGCGTGCCCCGTGGCCTCGGGCGTACCGCTGTCCACGGGGCCGCGCGTTCCTTCGTGCTGCGAGTCTGCTTGGCTGGGCCTCCTCTGGAGACTTGGGGCCCGGCCCGGCCAGGCCCCTGACCTTTCGCACCCTCCCCGGGGTGTCTGTGTGTGGGGGGGGAGGAGATTCCAAGGCCGCGCACGCCCTCCTGTGCCACATCTCTCCTGGGTCCCCGGGTTCCTCTCGGGCAAAGAAGCCTCAGAGCCCGGGGCTGGGGCGTTCTGGGGGTCAAACAAAGCCGGAGAAATGGACCCCCCCGCAGGACAGATGCTCTCAGTGCCCCTGCTGTCCGCGGGGCGGGGTGCACGGAGCGAGCGGCACAGGCCCTGCTCTCTGGGAAGCGACACCGGGTCGCTGGACAGCCGCCCGCCCGCCAGTGTAACGCCGCATCCCCCGCACCCTCGTGAGGCCCCCTTACCTGGGGTGCGGAGGAATAGGGGTATCCAAACTGCGGGTAGGACATGGCGGGCGCCGCCCGGGGCCGGCGGGCGGGGCCGGCGGGGTCCTGCGCGCGGTGGCCGGCCTGGCGCGGCCACTGCTCCGGGGCCGCCGGCTCCTAGGCGCTGGGAGGGCGAAGCAGAAGAGCGGGTTAATTCATCCACGTGCCCCGCAAACTTTTCTAACCCGGTGGGAAAGGGAGCCGCAGCGGCCGCAGCGAGCCTTTTAGCTCCACATTCCAGAGCCTCGAGGGGGCTCTGGGACCAACTGGCCTCGCAGCGGCGACACAAATACATATTTTGCAAAAAAGGAAAAAAAAAACCGAGTTGCGCGAACCCGTCAAGTCAGATGTGCTTGGCTTTAAGCGGCGGAGGCGCTGACGTCAGCCCACGCCGCGCAGCTCTGCCGGGCCGCAGACGTGCGGGTCACTCGCGGCGGCCGGGCGGCGGGGCGGGGACGGGCTGGGGGCGCCGCGCGGGGCGAAGGGGCCAACAGGCTCTAACAAATGAATTTCATCCGTGGAGTCAATATCGCCCCGACGAATTGCTGTTTCTCCTTAGTCACCGAGGACGGGAAGCACTTTTAATTAGAAATTAATTAATGAGCACCTGCTCCTTCCCGCCCCACTGTAATCATTAGTCTCAATTACAAATGAGACATGTGAAGGGACACACGACTGAGTCTTCACCGAAGATGTAATCAACAGTTAAAATTAGCCGGCGCCGGCGCAGGCGGCCGGCCGCCCGGGCCTCCGCGCCCCGCTCCAGGTGGGGGACGGCAGCTCCGCTGGCCCGCGCGCAGCTCCGACCGCTGTTCGGCGGGTCCCCGCTCCGCCTCCCGCCAGTTCGAACCCTGCTCCGGGGCGGAGTTCCAGGCCCCAGTGCGGCTGCGAGTGTCCGCGTCTGGAGGTCAACGTGCCCTCAGGCGTGTGGGTCCTGAGCCCCTTCCCAGAGCCATCTCCTCCAGGGGTGGGTGGCCCAAGTGCTGGGGGGCTTTGCGACTCCCCGCAGGCCTGTCCCCAGGGAACACCCCCTCCTTGGTCCCAGTCCCGGTCCTGCGGGTTGCTGCGCGGCGAAGGGCCCTCCCTTTCCTCTTCCACCGCCTTGCGCGGGCCGCCCTCCCTCAGCCTCCCCCTGCCCCTCGCGGCTAAACCCGGGACTGCCAGACACCCCTGCGCGCTCGAAGAGCAGGTTTCCCGACTCAGCTCCGGGGCCCCTCCCGCTACGCTTGCTCCTCCCGGCGACCCTCAGGGTTAGGTACCGGGGAGGGAGCGCCGGGACGCCCTTCCCCGCCCCTTTTGCATAGCTCCGTGCCCGGGGCTCATGGAGAGGCTGGAAATACGGCCGAGTACCCACCCCAGGACTTCCCCATTCAGCCCGTGTCTTGGGACCTTGCCCGAATCCAAAACAGAGGCGAGCGCGCAGGCGGCAAAGGGGCGCCCGGGCACCCGGAACTCGCTCCCCGCCTTTTATGCAGCCGCCCTCCGGGGGCCTGGCTCGCCTCTGCTGCTCTCGCCCCGCTGGGCCTCTCGCGGTCGGCAGGGAGGGGAGCTATGCGCGGCGGCGCTGTGCAGACTTGCTCGGAAAGATTCCTGGGTTCAGACCTGTGAATCGCCCCAGGGTCACCCTCTAATTAATGATGACGTTCTCGCCCTCTCCCCAGCTGCAAACCTGCCTCCCAGAAACGAAATCTGCCCGCTCTGACAGCTCGGTTGAAGGTGATTGATGACTATCTGGAGACCACAGTACGCATCATATGATATCTGCTGCGTAATTGCTTTAATTTACAGATGAAAATACGAACTCTCCGGTCGCGTTGAACCACAGCCGGCCACGTCCGAGCTGCTTGCGAAGGAAAATCATCGGAAATAATGAATAGCCGTTCCATGCAAATTATTCAGACAGTTTAAGCGTCTGTAGCCGGGAGAGATATATAAAAAACACGAGTCAAATGACATTAATAACTGTTTCTGAATTCTGTATTGATCTCACGGCGGCCGTGTTTCTTTCTTTCTCACCTGAATTGCTAATATCACCTCCTGTAAATAATCAGAAACTAGCCACCGGGGCTTCTCCGCCAGAAATGAATCTCTCAATCTCTCTCCCTCTTCCTCCTCTGCTCCTCCCCTCCCCCACCCTCCCTCCTCCCACCTCCAGTTTGCCGGCTTCACGCCGCGGAGGCTTTTCTGAGCATCCCCTACTTTCCATTATTTATTGTTTACAAACAGCTTGCTCCCTCCTGGTAATGAGGCCGGGGCGAGGGAGGGGCAGGAGCCAACGGTGGTCGAGGGTTCAGGGAGCAGTAATGGCGAGAGAAGGATGAATTCAGCATCTTTCCCTCACCCCACTCCCCAAGGCCCAACCCCGGCGATTGCGAGCGAGCGCTCAGGCTGCGGCAGACAGCCAGCGCCCAGTCCCAGCAGCCCCGGGGCTCGGGGCTCCGCAACCTGCACAGAACAGCGCACCCAGGCCCTTTCCTTACCGGCCACAGCTCACGGGGAACGGCACCCCCTGAACACACGACCCTTTATTTTCTGAGCAGAAGTGTCAGCCTTCCAGCGCAGCCCTCTCCGGGGGCCTCTGGGGGAGGGGTGCCCAGGGCCTCCTTTGACCATCACTGCCGCGATTTCCTTTCCAGCCTGCCTGCCTAAATAGGAGCTCCCAATCCCCACCCACCTAGCCCGGTTCTCCAGGCAACCTTTTCTTCTAATCAGAAATCAAGCTCACCCGCTACTTTCCAAGGCCGTTGCACACTGATCCCCCGCTTCACACTGCCCCAGGCCTGTGACACGGGGGCCTGAATGGCCGCCCTGTTTGGGGAAGCTCTGTGCTGCCGGAGGGGTCTAGGCCCTGCTATCCAGTGCTGGATTCAGGGTCTGTCCGGCCTGTCTCCCATCTGGAGCACCCCAGGACATCCCGCTGACAACCAGCGCCCTGCCTGAGGCCGGCTCCCTGGAACCGGGATACTTTCTGGGTTCGCTTTGTCCCGGGGAAGATACCGGAATAATATCGGAGTGCCTCTTCCTGAAAGGCCCAGCCTTGAGCTGAGGCCCCAAGGTTTCCCTCTAAGAGAGGACAGAGCAAGAGTGTGAACATCTCAGGTATCAGCAGCTAAATGCGCCTGCATAGACTCGCAAGCTGAACCCACGTCCCCGCAGGGACCCTGGGTTCTGAATACACCCAGGAGAGGTTCCCCTCCAACAGGGCAGTGGCGCAGCTTCGGGGACGTGCGCCTACTGGCCTGGTGAGTGCTAAAGGAGCCACGGGCCGAGGGGGCCTGAGGAGAGCCCCCGCGGAAGGTCAGAGGCCTGCACTAGCCCTTCTGGCCGGGAGGTGCTGTAGGCCTCGGAGGGCCTCTGGGAGCTAGGCCGCGCCCTGATATTCTCTGCCCTCCCCCCTGAGACCGACTGAGGCCAGGCGCTCCCGGTCTGTTCCCGAAGTTGTCCCCCAGGGCCACTGGCTTCTCCGCACCGAGAGCGGCCAGGGGCTCTCTCCGCCCCAACAAAGTTGACCCCAGGCAGAGGGCGGAGGCTAGAGCGCGCAGAGCCAGGCTGGGGCCTCGGCGGAGGCGCAGGCCAGCCCCTGGGGCGCCTGTGCCCGCCCACTGCTCGCGGACACCCGGGCGGGGTGCGGGGCTGGAAGGCGTTCTGGAGAGCGGGGGCGCGGCACTCGCTAGCCCCGAGGTCGGCAGGTCACTCCTCCGCGGCCGGTCCTGCGGGTTTCACGCGAAGTCAGGCTGTCGAGCTGCGGGCAAGCGCTCTGAATCCGGCTCCCGAGACGCCTCCATTCCAGGTCGGCGGGCTCCGGCTCTCCCGCCGCGCCCCCGCCGCTCGCTCGCAGGGCGCCGCCCGAGCGGGAAAGGCGCGCAGTCGGGGCGTCCGGGAGCAGGCCCGGCTGCCCCGCGTTGGCCCCCGCGCCCCGCGCCGCCCCCGCCCCCCCGTTTCCACAACTTGCAGCGAACGCGGCGGCCTCTGGAGACCCCAGCGGCTGGCAGCAAACTTTGCGCCCTGCGGCGCAGGAACGATCCTGGCAAAGTTTGTGCGGCCGAACCCACTCCCTACCTGCGGTGGGGACGCGCCCGCCCGCGCCGCTTCGGCGCCGGGGCCGCGGGGAGCAGCGCGCAGCCCGGGACGCACCGGGGAGTCGCCGCAGTCGCCGCCGCCCGCGCCCCTCGGCGGCCGCGCCGAGCCTCCGCCTCCCCGGAAGGGGGGAGGGGTCTCGGAGCCCCGGGGCGGGGGCGGGCGCGGGGACCTCGCCTACCTGCGGTGGCGCCCGGCCACTACCGGCCGCCCGCGAGGGCTCTGCGCGGCCGCTCGGCGCGCGCGCTCCGGCGGGGAGCAGGCGACAACTAATGGAGACATTTCCAGGCGGAGCACCTGGCGAGCGGAGCGCGCCGGCGTCCCCAGGCGCCGCGGTCGTCAGCCGAGCCCGCACCGGCGTGACGTGGGCGAGCGAGCGCGCTGCTCCCACCCGGCCGCCCATTAACGCTTTCCCCCGCGGGCGCCGCGCGCTCGCCAACTTTCCCCTCCGCCTGGCCCGCGCGCGGGGTGCGTGGGGCGTCTGAGCTGGCATGGGGGACGCCCTGGGGTGGGGGCAGGGATGCCGGCTCAGAGGAGACAGCCCCCCAACAACAGACAGCAGGAAGGCGGGCCGCCTTGATTTGGCCAAACTCTTGGCGGCCTAGGGCTCTTCAGGGGCGGTCAGGCTGCCCCCTGCCCACCACTCCCCGCTGTCTTGGGCCAGTGGAACGGCGCTGGGGACAGCTTCATTGGTTCTTGGCCCCAGTTCTCCTGAGTTTCCCTTTGGTCATGGTCTCCTCCAGGTCTGGAGAGCTGGATGGGGGTCCGGCAGCGCCCCAACCTCCTCCGGTAGACCAGGCAACCAGGCCTTGGCTTTCTTCCCTGCACTCCCCGCCCCAACATGGCCCCTCGGCACTAAGGGAGGCCAGCTTCACCGCTACCGTGCACACTGGCCCCTGCCCGCTCGGGCTGTCTAGGCAGGAGTGGTTGCTTTGGTGCAGGCAGAGGGCTTGGGCAGCTGGAGGTGGGCACACAAAGTTGACAGAAACCGGTGTGTGGGGGGCCGCAGGCTGTAAGCCTGTGAGCTGCCTGGGACCCCGTGGCTCCATAGGGGAGCTTTCTAAGGGCAGCCCAGAGCCCTGCGAGGCTGTCCCCGCCGGGGACACACTGCACCCGAGCAGCCTGTGGGGTCTGCAGCCTGAGTCCAGGGGGGAAGTCAGCCCGGGCGGGTCCCAGGTCACTCCACCAGGGGCGCCTCTCGCCCTGCCCGCCACCCCTGTCATTTCAGAGAACCATGAAGTTGTTCTCCTTACGATATGTGGCCTTAGAATGACGGTTGAGATTTGTTGATTGGATAATGTCTGAAAAAGTGATTTGCTGTCTCCACCCCCCCCCCCCTTTTCTTCAGAGCTCTGCCGCAGCCGGGGGTGGGGGACAAGCACATCTCCGGGCTTCCACAGTAGCCTGCTGGGGTGGTGGTGGTCTCCAGGCCTCACACACCTCCGTCTCCTCCACAGGGCAGAAAGAAGAGAGTCGGCTGTCCCCAGCTTCCCCAGGCTGAGTCCAGACCTTCTGCCGGCTTCTCTGGGAAGAACACTGCTGAGGTCTCCGGGTCTGCTCTGAAGATGCAAAGGGCTTCCTGCAGGCCCCAGGCTCCAGGCAGCTGTCCAGGGGTCACGTGCGTGGACCCTCCAGTGCAGCCTGGGCTGATGGAGGAGGGTCGTGGGAAGGGTGCCCTCTGTGGGTGCAGGTCTGCAGACAGTCTCCAGGGCAAGGCAGGGATCTGAGGCCCGCCAGAAGGAAGTGGAGGAAGGACACAGAGCACCGTGGGGAGGGGACTGGCTGCTGTCCCTGCCCCTGCTGTCCGTTTCCTCCTCCCTCTCCGTGCCGCAGGACGTGCCTGGCAGGGTCCTGGGGCCAGCAGGGATAGCTCACCTCCTCCCTCCTGCTGAGCTCCCCTGGGACGCTGATTCTTTTCATGCTGCAGATAAGCAAGGCCTGTTTGTGACTAAATCCTTGATTGGGAAATAGACTCCTGCCTTCACCTGGGCCTTTTAATGACAACAGCCAGAGAGACCTGTGAGGAGCACCCAGGCCCCCAGGAGCTCCGGCTATGTCCTCTGTCCTCTGGCGTTTCCGTAGCTGGAGGCAGCACCTCTCTGGAAGGCAGGCCACCCATTGCCTTTCCCTGGGAGGCAGGACCTCCTTTCCCTGGACTCCCCAAAAGCCCGTGCTCTGGCCACTGCCAGGCCTGACCTTGCCCCGATCGTTGGCCTCACTGGCCGTCCTCTGCCCCGCGGCCCTTGGCTGTCCTGCCCTGGGAGGGCCTCGCAGGTTGGTGCCCCACGGAAAGGAGGGACATGTCCCAGGACTTGCCCAGGGGGCCGGGCAGGTCACAGCCCTCAGGGGCATCAGCGTGAGTGTTAGGTCCAGAAAGCCAGGGTGCAGCCGTGGCCACCTGGGAAGGCCTGCCCTGCTCCCAGGCCTGGCTGAGGGCGGGCGCCGGCACGCTCCCTGCTCTGTGACAAGGCTGCGGGCTGTGCCCACCGCTGTGCCCCCACCTCTCCGGTCAGGACTTGCTCCCTGATGGATCCCTTGTCTCTGAATCCGGCTTTTGTTTTGGCTGCTGGCAGAGCGGCCCGGTGCAATGTGGAACAGAAGTCTCCATGCCCCCGGGCTTGGCCCTGCTGCGTGCGCCTCCCCCCCCACCCCCGCCTGGTCATTGCAGCAACTTGCAGAGGCATCTGGTATTGGAGAAGGCCGAGCTGGCCGGACCGTGGCCTGCTGCCTGCCGTCAGCGAGCGACCCACAGCCTCAGCCCCCTTTCCTGGGGACCTGGGAGGTCCCAGGGGAGGCTGCGAGAGGATGGCCTGTGAAGGATCAGTTGGTGCCCCTGGGCACGGTGTCCCAAAGATGCCGCCATCCTTGGAAGGGCCGGCCTTCTAATGGCTCCGTGGCCCGACTTAGCAGCAGGGCCGTGTTCGGGGCCCAGATCCTAGGGGAGCACCCGGCCTCAGAATGTGTGTCTCTCACCTTTGAATGGGCCTGTTCCTCACGGGCCCTGGGGCTGCTTGGGGGTGAGGGTCTCTCTCTTCCCAGTCCCGATTCACAGTGCAGAGCCAGACAGAAGTATTTCAAGCAGAAAATCGGAGTAGTTTCTTTTCCGAGCAGAGCGGTGCCTGGGTTTGGGACAGCAACGGGCTCTTGGGCACGAGTCAGACAGAGGTGCCCGCGGTCGCGGCTCCAGAGTGTCCCCGCGTGCGCTGAGGGCTGTACTGCCGGTGTCGGTTTCCTCAGTTTCCTCTCCTGCTGCCCCTCTGCCCGCCCCCCTTGAGCTGGAAGGAGGCCAGGGCAGCAGAAGTTGGAAAGTTGTCCTTTCCCCTCATTTCAGAAATACGATGTCATGTTTGTAATGCTGAAATGCACCAGCAGAGTTTAGGGAGGTTTCTATTATTAAAAGCAAGAGGCTGCTAATTCAAACAATGTCTGTCGTCTGTATGGTTCACGTTGAAATGTTTGCCTGCCGCAGACCGGCACTGGCGACGTTCGGGCCGGAGACTCCATGAAAACCAGAGGAAGCGAGTTTCATTGTCCAAAGAGAGAGGGCGGACAGCCTGGCTGCCTGGGGTTCCAGTGCTGCTGTGAATTTCTTCACGGGGCGGGGTGGCGGGGGGTGTGGCCAGAGAAGATGGCCTTAGAGAAAGGAAGTGTTGGGAGGGGCCCTAAACACAGGAGCCAGCACCGGTGTCCGGACCTACAAGATACGGATCAGCCAGGGTCGGGGGCGTGGGGGCTCTGAGGAGGAGCCTGGCCAGGGGCCTGCCCCGGGTTCGCTGGGGGAAAGCAGGGGGGCCGGGCGCAGTGCTCCTGAGCAATCGCACACAAACAACACTGTCACGAATGGAAGGCGACGAGGCACCAGAGGGCATTTGCCCGGGCCAAGAGCAGATAAGACGGACGTGTGGGAGCGCAAGAAGCGGACTCAGAGGCGCTGTGGGTCTCCGGGAAGTGGGTCCCGCCGTGGCCTCCCCTGCTCCCACAGGCGCTGCTCTCGCCCAGGGCAGCCCCTGAGCTTCGGCGTCCTGACCAGCCGGCGCTCGGGAGGTCTGTGGAGACTCCATCCGCAGTGCTCTCGGGCGGAACCCCCACAGCTGGGGACGCTTCAGCCCCAGGGATTGGTCTGTAAAGGAGGCGCCAGCCAGCCTGGAGTTTGGTCTTCCGTGAACACCGCTGTGTCCGCATCGGGGGGACTGGGGACTGCGTGCCGCCCCCTGGGGCAGTGCTAGAGCCCAGGGTGCGTCCCCCGCCAGGCCGGGCGTGCTCCAGACCCCACGGTCAGCCTCTGTGCGGTGGGCAGCGCGGCCCTGACCCGTGTAACCCCGGCTTTCCATTAGGGTGGCGGTAAGTCATGTGGGGACGTCCTCCTGGAGGTAGCTGATGTCTGTGTAAAAAGCCATTTCAGAGCATTTCTGAAATTCAATTAATTGGAGGCCCAGATAAAAGGAACATTCTTAATGGCTATAACATAACTAACATAACCCCGAGGGAGGAGAGGGAACCGCACGGCCCGACTTCAAAGTGTGACAGAAATACTTACTGTTTTACTCTGAAAGTCTCTGGATCAATGACTCAGTCAAAATTACTTAAACATTTAGCAACCTTTTCATTTTCTGTTTAAAAATGGCAGAAAGAGACGCTCTTCTTGCCCGAGACACAAAGCTCCGGAAAGGAAGCATGGACCCCATGCTCGCGTACAGGCCACACCGGCTCCTTCGTGGGGAGCCTGCGCTTCCGCTCTCCCGAGTGGGAGGCGTGTCGGTGTCCTGGGCTGAGTGACCAAGTGCCACATGGTGCGTGTCGCTCTCCGGTCTGGAGGGGAGAAGTCCGAGACCGGCAGGGCTGGTCCCCCAGAGGCGGGAGGCGGGAGCTGCTCCGGGCCTCTGTCCGGCCTCTGGTGGCTGCTGGCCATCTTGGGGCTCCTGACCCCTCACTTGGATCTCTGTCTTCATGCTGTCTCTCTGTGGGTGTGGGTCTCATTTTTAATCAGGACACAGTCATCCCTCACTCCAGCACCGCCTCCCCTTAACTAATGACATCTGTGATGTTCCTGTTTCCAAATGAGGACATGCTGTGGGGGCCTGGGGTCGAAGCCACAATGTGTGCATTCTGAGGGGACACAGTTCAACCCATATCAGAGGAGTCTGGGAATGCCACAGCTGGGCCTGGGTTTATTTCTTTAGATTGACCCCTGACACCACTAACTCATCACGACTGTTGGGTTCGCAGAGGGTGGGAGCCCGCCCCAGACTGTACGACCGTAGTGACAAGGGCAACCTTCATCCCCAGCTGCCCGGGGCCTCTCGGGCACCCCCAGCCCCCATGCA